ATTTTTAGGCACTGGACATCCCCCTTCCCCCCTCACTCCCATTGCTCCCAGGGCGCTGTACAATAGCTGCCCACTGATCCTAGAACTAGACTCCTGGTGCTAGGATAATGAGAGACACATTTCACTGTGTGTTGGGTGCTCTGCATGTGTGACCGTTAACGAGGGTTTCATCCCTCCCAATTCTTCTTCTTCAACACCCATATAAAACAGAACTGTAAACAGATTTACTTTTTTTCGTTCAACATTTATTTGAACAGCAAGTGGAGGCAAAAGTGACTGCACCCAAAACAATAAACCTGCTAGCTAACTAGCCTAAACTCAGTAACAGAATGTGGGCAACACGTTCTTCTCCACAGCCGCGCGACCTCTGAGTCAGACGTCACTTCCCCCTTTCCTATCCTACGGGTACAGCAACCCCATTTTTGTTGGGATCAATAAACTACTACCTTATCTTATGTTATATGTTGCTCTGTTGGAGGAGCCTGTGACTGCAGCTGACGTACACATGACAACAAAGCCTTGAATCTTGAAGCACACAGTTGTCAGATGTGGTGACGTTTACCTTTTTGTGGGCGCTGACGATGAGCTGCAGCCACTTCTCGGTGGTCTTGGTGGAGGAGATCTCTCTGTCGGGGATGTAGGACGGGACGAGGCTGAGCAGACGATCCTGGAGGACCTCAGCACCGTAATCCACGAAATACTGCTGAGAGGCCAGCTCTGCCAGGTCCTCCTCCTGGAGATACACAGGGCCAAGAGACGAGCATTAGGAGGCAACATATATGATATCTTTTTTGCTCACCTTGTATAGACCTGTATTGAATTTCAACTTGGTTTCATTACGGGTTAATCTACTGATCACTTTTTACAGAAATGCATCGATTCTTGCTTTATAAATACTGTGAAAATATTGATAAATAATCAAAACAAAATGATGTATAGAAAAATGAAGCAGCATATTTTTACTAGAACCGTGATTTTTTAAACAGTTGTGCTCACCCTCTCGCAGCGGTACTCTCCGAACTTCACGCCCCGTACGACCTGCTGGTAGATGAGGTTGGTGGCGGTGTGGTCGTCCTCCGGGTCGTGCCAGGGGTTGAAGATTTCCTTCCTGAAGAACAGCCTCCAGGGGGCGTTCCTCTCCTGCGCGCCCTGCTCCTTGGCGTACTGTTCGCACTGAGACACGGCGTCCAGCACGTGGTCGCTGCCGCTGCCGAGAGACGAGACCTGGAGGAGAGCAAACAAACACATTCAGATCCTTCACTTCTCAGAAAAGACTGAGCAAATAATCCACTAGTAGTTAAAGTCAATCAAATCTCACTTAATTAAAACTATGTGTCTGTTTATTATGCGTCAAATGTTATCTGTGAAACGCTTCTTATACTACTAATTAAATGTATTGGGAAATGGGAAATGACAACCAATGAATGAGGGGATTCCCCTGCTGTAGATAATTAATCTTTTAGTCATTGTAACTTCTTTTTATATGGTTGGGTAGTTTAATCTGCAGAAAGGCATCATATTCTGTAAGATCCCCGTGTGTTGTTTCTCAGCCCTGTTTTCAGCTTTGTGACGATGCATTTTTTCCTGCTGTATCCAAGAGGCTTTCTAAAGACTTTAAGAAGGAGGACACACATAAGGAACACTTCATCCTTAATTAATCACAAACATCCTTTATCAGGGTATACAGTATGCAGGAGTCCTGAAGTCACATGTAAGACCTTTGAAGACCTTTTTGAAGACCCTTTCCATACATTTTAAGACCTCATCTCCACTTGGAGTTCTAACCGGTTACCTTGGCGACACACTTTACCTCACATTGACTATATACAGTATTGATTATCATTCCTCCTTATCTTCCAACCATTTGCGGTATTTATGGATCTTTAAGTATTTTTGGAACTTTAAGTATTTTTGGAATTTACGGTATTTTTGGAACTTTAAGTATTTTTGGAATTTACGGTATTTTTGGAACTTTAAGTATTTTTGGAACTTTAAGTATTTTTGGAACTTTAAGTATTTTTGGAACTTTAAGTATTTTTGGAACTTTAAGTATTTTTGGAACTTTAAGTATTTTTGGAATTGACGGTATTTTTGGGAATTTTAAGTATTTTTTAGATCTTTGGACCCTTTCCATACATTTTAAGACCTCATCGCCACTTGGAGTTCTAACCGGTTACCTTGGCGACACACTTTACCTCACATTGACTATATACAGTATTGATTATCCTTCCTCCTTATCTTCCAACCATTTTTCAAATGTTCAAACTAAATGAATTCTCTCCTGATCGAAACATCATGTGTTGAAATAAACAACTGCAGTTCAAAATAAAGAGTGAATTGTCTAATATTT